TTGGGTTTGTGGGGGGCAGTAGAAGAAATAGCCAGCGAAAAAGAAGAAGAAAAAAGAAAAGCAGCAGCAGAAGGAGGAGCAGCAGGAGGAGCAGGAGCAGCAGGGAGAAGAAGAACTGCAGCAACAGAAAAAGAAAATGCTGCTGCTGGTGATACAAGATACAAAAGGAAAGATTATACACATAACAACCAGCTTTATGCAGACACACAACAGCAACAGCAACAGCAGCAGCAGCAGCAACAGCTTCTCCAGCAGCAACAGCAGCAGCAGCAGCAACAGATGCAACAGCAACAGCAACCGCAGCAACAACCACAACAGATGCAACAGCAACAGCAGCAACCGATGCAACAGCAACAGCAGCAACAGATGCAACAGCATATGGAACTGCAGCAGCAGCAGCAGCAACAGCAACAGCAGCAGCAGCAGCAGCAGCAGCAGCCATTGGTTGAACACAGCAGCAAACGCCGAGCTTACCGCTTGAATTTTTGGAGTGAAGAAGAAAACGAAGAAGAGGAAGAAGAAGAAGAGACAGAAAAAGAAGAAAAAGAAAAAGAAAAAAAAGAAAAAGAAAAAGAAAAAGAATATTGCGCTGCTACGGATATAAACGCTCTTCTGTGCTCGTCAGATGCGGGGGCTGAGACAGAGACAGTTGGCTTCGGTTCTCCTTCTCCTCTATCTAGAGATATTCCTTCTTCATACGAAGCAGCAGCAGACGCCGATGCTGCTCTCAAAGAAGCTGCAACACAAACAGCAGCAACAACACCAGCAGCAGCAGCAACAGCAGCAGCAGCAGCAGCTGCTGCTGCTGCTGCAGCAAGAGGAACAGACACATATTTCCATATGGCTGTGGGGGAGGAAACAGGGGCTGCTGAGACAGCCGCGGGAGCGCCAGCTGCAGAGCTGCAGCGGCAGAAACATTTTGATCGTATTGGTCAGTTGGTGGCTGCAGCGAATCCAGCAGCACCCAACGCAAAGACTGTAGCAGCTGAAATAGTTTTTGAATTGCTTGCACTCGTCAACAGAGGGCTGCTGCCTGCTCCTCCTGCTGCTGTGCTGCAGCAGCTGCAATCTGCTGCAGCTCGTCTGGGGGTCGACTCAACACAAATAGTTCCTTCGGCTCAGACCAGCGCTTCTCTGGGGCCCCCGTCAGATGAAGGGCGGGGGTAGGTAGAGAGAAAAGAGAGAGAGATGCAAGAGCCCTCTCTGGCTTTCTGCAGCTGATGCTCTCGTGTTTTCGTTTGCATTTTCAAGAAAATTTATTCATAAATACCTTCTTTGGCTTCGCACATAAACTTATTTTTTGAACTGCTTGATGGATGCAGACGGCCGTAGTGCAGTCACTGTAGCGGTAGTGAATGTAGCTGCACGGAAACCTCGGCGCTACGAGCCCCCAAGGCCGAATCTTTTGTAATATTTCAGGAATTTCGTATAAATACTTTATTTAGTTTCAGGTTTCCCTCGGATCACTCAGCTTTCCCGTAGAATTCCTGCTGAAACCTTTCATAAAAATATGCGTATTTCAGGTGTCTGTACACCCCGCTGCCGAGTTGAATTTGCACTTGAACGTGAAATATGCCGCGGATCGGCGATGAAAAGGTTGTTTTCTTTGGAGTTTCTTGATTTATTTTTGGAAATGCATGCAATAATGCATGCAATAACGAAGATATGTGCGGCAGCGGTGTTCGTGTTTCCGTCTTTGGCTCATGCTGAATACACAGAATGGTGCGAAGCAGCGCCTGCACCAGGGAAACCTGAAATTGCAGTTTGTGTTCCTTATGGCGTCGGCACGGCGAACTATATGTTAGAAATTTTGCCTGCATACGGCCCTGGCGTGGACTTGGGGTGAGAGAGCTGAGAGGCGTTGCAGAAAACAGAATATCACCAAAACCCTAAACCCTAAACATGAATACTAAACCCTCTGTATAGGACGGATGTATCCGTACAACTTGTTGGCAGAGCTGGTCGTGTGACACCGCCGATAGCGATTGCCTCTGCATCATCAGGAACGCAGAAACGGTAAGAAACGAGTTGAATGAAAGCCTGAGTATTATATAAAAAGATAAAATAATTTCGACGAATATAAATAAATAATTAAATAAAACAAGAAAACTTTATTGTTTTTTTTTTTTAGTGTTTTTGTTGAATCCATAGACGTCGGTGACCCCGAAGAAATTCAAGCGAAAGCTGCAGGCAGCGGCCTGTGGAGGTGTCAGAGAATTACTGTATGGAAGGACTTTCGTTACTGGCTCTTTGACTGTGTGGGCGAGCTATCAACAAAGCATAGAGAAGCGGTCCGCATACACACAAAAAAAAAAAAAAAAACTATAAACCCTAAACCCTAAACCCTAAACCCTTAAAAGTCTGAAATATAATAATTTAAAAAAAAAAAAAAATTTTTGTTTTATTTTCTTCGTTTGCAGACTTTCACTCTCTCCGGAAATAAACTCTATCAGGCGGTCATTCAAACAGGCAACGATGAACGCGGTAACATAAACCCTAAACCCTAAACCCTAAACCCTAAACCCTAAACCCTAGTAGACTCTAATAAACCCTAATACATCTTAAACCCTAATAAAACCCAATAAACCCTAAACCCTAAAACGCCCTATAGGATAAACCTACTAGACCTTGAACCCTAATAAACCGTAAACATAAATAAACCCTAAACCCTAAACCCTAAACCCTAATATGAACTCAAAACCGTATCTAGACATCCTAAGCCGATCAAACCCTAACGCGTACAAAGCCGTACTGATCCCACCTAAACCTTATACCCCCCTAAACCCTAAACCCTAAACCCTAGACCCTAAACCCTAAACCCTAGAGTATGAATTGTTGTTTCTTTCTTTTTTTTTTTTTTTTTAGCTGGAACCACNTTTTTTTTTTTTTTTTTTTTAGCTGGAACCACCGGGGCAATACAGCTGACTATTAGCGGCTCCTACCGCCAGGCCAGCCCAAAGACAGTGCTGCAGGGAATCAAACCAGGGAGAGAGGAGAGAATATCTTTTCGTGCTGCTGATGGTTAGTATATATATATATATATATATATATATATATATATATATATATATATAATATAATATAATATAATATAATATAATAATATAATTAAAAAAAAAAATAATTTTTATTGAATTGCTGCAGTGGGTGAATTACAGTCTATTTTGCTGCACAACACGGCCGAAGAAGATCCCTGGTACTGCGAGACCGTCCGCATAACAACAGACAGCAGCAGCAGCAGCAGCAGCAGCAGCAGCAGCAGCAGCGGGGGCAGCAGTGTATCTTTCACAGTAAAGCGGTGGATAGGGAGCCCGTATGATGCTGCTGTCTCTGTCTCTCTGCGGCCTTCTCTAGACACAGATGCAGCCCCCCAAGACGTGCAGTGCCACACCAGGGGCTCAGACCTCGTCACCCTGTAAGAAAAAAAACACACACAAACATACTATGCATGCATGCATGCATGCGGGTTTACATGCTTGTGTATTGATCTCCACATATGCTTGTATGTATATGCATGCATGCATGCATGCAGTCACAAATATATCTGCATGCATGCAAACACGTATGAATATATCGTCGCCAATCAGCATGCATGCATGCATAAATACATGCATTACATGCATACATGTTCCTGTTCCCACCAATCACTGCATGCATGCATGCATGCATGTATGTGTGGCTAGATGAATAGAGGTCTATTATAAAATTATATTCCGCATGCATACATGCATGCATGCATGCATGGATGCATGCATGCATTCCCACCAATCACTGCATGCATGCATGCATGCATGCATGCATGTGTCTAGAGGAATGGCGGCGTATGAGTTGTGTATGTGTTCAGGTCTCCGCGTAATTTATCTACATTTAAAGTTCGTTGCCCAATGAACTGCGGCGCTGCAGTTTTTGCTTGGATAGAGGGGGCCTCAATACACCCTTCTTCTTCTTCTGTGTGTGCTGCTGCTGAGTATGATGGTGTTCTATCACCCTCTGGTAAGGATATTTGTACTCTTCTCTTTATTTATATTCTATTTCATTTGTATATTTCAACGTCTGCTGCTGCTGCTGCTGCTGCTCCTGCTGCTGCTGCTGCTGCTGCTGCTGCTGCTGGTGTAAACAAACAGGCGGAGTGGTGGTGGTTACTGTCGTGGGCCCTCTACCTCACTACTCGGGTCTTCCTCCTTCTAAGCCAGGAGCTGGTGAGTTGGGGTGTATAGGCAGCTGGGGTGTATAGGCAGCTGGGGTGTATAGGCAGTGTATGTGTTGGGGTGTATACGCAGCATATTTATATTATCTTTTTAAATCCTAATTAATACAACTTTCTTTTTTTTTTTTTTTTTTT